GAAAGATTTGCTTCTGAATTAATCTGGAGGGTATCGGCAGTAAGGGCTTCGTTAACATTAATCATCAACTCTTTATTAAGGATATAAGTCCGTCGGCTTTTGACGGATACCGACAGCAAAACACAGAATAGATTGCACCAAGGGCATCAATAAAATTGAGTAAAAAAGAAGAAGCATTATGATAGAAAGCGATAAAAATTAGATAAAGGAGAATAAATAGTAACTCTAACTGCTAAACCCGACATGCAATAAATTTATTAAGATAATTGAAAATATTTCCAAGATGAGACTGTCTATAACTTAATATTCTAGTTGAGCAAAGCAGAATTCTTTAGAAAGCATATTTATACACATTAAACGGTATTGTTTTATTGAGACTTAATTATTGATAAGTATTCCGTTTTGGCATTAGATAGATGTAGAATAAAAAATGAAACTAAGACAAACTTCCAGACAGCTGAAGCAATTTGCGATAATACGGTTATGATAACTTTAAATATTGGTTGATAGAAAGCTTATGGAGACAATTTTCCCTCTCATGAAGAAATGTAGATCGACTACATTAGTCATTGATATTTTCTTATTTTTTTAAATAGAAAGCACCGGAACAATCCTTTAAATATTTGCGAAAAAAGTAACACCTATTTACACAACTGCGCAAATTAGTTGAATTAAAAGGAATAACCAAACGAATTAGAAGATAAAGGTATGAGAATGAATAAAAAATAAAAACAAATGAAAAGGAAACAAAGGCATAATTAGGTTTTTCAGTCATATAAAAAAGTAAATATGGCAAGAAATACAAATTACACTTATAAGGAAAAAAATGGGGGTCTCGAGAATTATGGAATATTCTTTCTGTGATCTGACGTCAAAGATGGGCACATATATGTGCTACGATGATAGGAAACCGAGTGATAAAATGGCTTGTGTAGAACAGAATAAATTAGAAAGCAAGGGCGAAGAGTGTAAATGTGCCGACGTAAAATCGAAAATGGAAGATGGTGGCGTGCATACGAGGCGCGCAGAATCTGGAAATCAGTCACCGCAAGAAAACCAGCAGTCCCTGGGTCCGGAGTTCCTAGTGCTTTAATCCTTGTGTAATAAACATGTCGGATTCTGATGAGACAGTATTGTGGAGGAGTCCAAATGAGAGATATTCACAAGCGATCTTGTGTAATGAGTTATGAGATAAATGCTCGTGAAAATTAACAAATAATGAGAAAATAAAGAAATGAGTCACTACAATACTCCTCCTAGAGGCTGGCACGTAATTTGTAGTCACGACAAAAAGAAAAATGTGATAATTCAAAGTAAACCTTTTGTATAGTAGTTGTTTGACCTAGTTTTCGTAACTTGGTCATATTGGCAGGAAGACCTAGAGCAATGCACCTCGTCCAGAGTTCATAGTATGCATGATAATGTCTAGTCGGAACGTGGACTTGGTACATTCCTGGAAGTTTCACCGGAGTCGTCAGTGAGCCTCATCATTCTTAGCACCACTAAAACTCGCCAGAGGCTAATGAAGCCGATCCTTTGACCAATTGTCTGCTAAACAGTTGTGGTATCTTTCTTTCTGTCCTGGGCTATTCACTTATCCTATATCCTCGTATCACCCCTTCAATACCACAATTTCGTACTTGTTTATCTAAACCTATTTGGAACCTATTCACACTCCGTGTTGGTTACCACATCCCTCCCACTGTGCCGAGTGTTGATCCAAGCTGCGGTTTAATATGAAATTCTCTCCTTTCGGGTCCTATCAGATTCCCTTGCTTGCCTTGTAGGATCCTTCCCATATCTGACTGTTTCAGTGATTTCACTCCATCAATGCCACCGCATCCGTGCTACTCAAGGAGTTATGTTCTACTCTCTGCCTCAAACCTATGGTGGGTCGTATACAACACTCGTAATGAGCAAGCCTCTAAAGTCTGGATTCTCAATTAGCATTACAAACTAATTTTACGCTGCAGACTCCCTTATCGCTGTGCCGCATGTGCACCGAGTAAATATCGTGTTCAAGCCTTTATTCATGGATCACGCCTATGAGTAAACTTGTCTACCAATAGCTAACTAGGAATGGTCATCACCGTTTCTCTCGCTCTTCTATCCCTAATGTCGAGTCTACGACTTTCTTTTGGATGTCGACTCCCAAATCTGATAGTTCTACTTGATTTAAATAGGTTCACTGTAGACAGCTTCACTTAGTTTCCGATTGTTCCTCTCTGGTCTCCTGGTAATTTGTTTTCCTAAAATTAAAAATATTACCTTTTTCCAGTCGTCCTCTTTTTGCTGATATTGCTGTTCCCTGATCTTCTCTCAGCTTGCTCGGGCATTATGCACAGTTCTCGCTAATCCTGCTTTCTTCATATCTCCTGTTCATGAGATCGCAACCATACAAAAGGCCACACCATCTTAGTCTTCATACCTTCGATTAAACCTTTTGTCTTGGGTACATAGGAAGTGTGGACTGCATTTTCTCCAACCATGGCATAGGTTTTGACGATGTGCTCCTTGTATCGGTGGCATTCTCCGTTTAGTCAATTCTGGGTGCCTTAAGCAGGTCTGCCCTCACTATGCCTTGACAACCCTTAATAAGCATGTTCACTGTCTCAGAAGCTGACACAAAAGAAACCGGTGTAAGGTGCTGCTAGTGGTGGCAGTACCCGGTCGTCTCCGACGTAAATGTACTTGTAGGTCTTAGGGTCTTCAAGCATAGCGAGCTTATACGGAGTCGGCTTGATAGGAATGTTGCATATTTTCTACCTCGAATCGATCAGACCCATTAGGTAATCGTCTGCTGGGTTGCTAATATTGGTAGGTAGTCAGAGTTGGCAGTCGCAGACCACGTTCAAGTATGGCTTCGAAACAGTTCTTATTAGTAGACAATCCATGATGGGTTTGTCTGTTTACCTTGAGCATCGTCAAGGCCATACAGGACTAACGACTGATTGTCTGTCCGACTACCAGGATTCTTTTGGCACCGGAGACAGGCTTTTAGCTGACGGATGGAGCGTCCTACCAAGCCGTTAGCATGTGGATGGTAGACACGAGTGCTAAGCCCCCTCGTTCATAATAATTTCGATGGCTGGGTCATAATATAGTACCCGAATTGCCTGCCTGTCGATTGTGACAGTTGTCGGCGTGCAAAACCTGGAAACCCAATGTGCGAAAAAAGCTTTGGCCACTGTCTCTACCTGTACGACCGGAATTAGAACGGTTTATGACCATCGTATGGACTGGTTCTTAAGAGCAATGTAGCGGTTTAACTTTGAAGGCAGAAGAGAATCAACAATGCGCATGTGAATGTGGTTGAAACTTTGTGAGAGTTGCTCAAAAGTGCTGGTCAATATATTGGTGTATCTGTGCCCTCTGTTGTTTTGATTAATCATGCATTCCTTTTCCACTTTCCGGTGCTGGCTTCTATCCTCAGCCAGACAAAACGGTCTGCAATTAGCTTTTTGAAGCTCATACGTCGAGGTGTGACAAATCGTCGATGATATGCAACACCTTCCTGGTGGAATAGGGTTGGTGCATGCTTACAGACATGTAAAACAAAATATTTTGTCCCTT